ATCTAAAAATGACATGCTAAGTAATTGAGCTGATGCAAATAAGTGAATGATCCCGTGCTTAATAAGAAAAAAAAAGAGAAAAAGAAAAGGACAAAAAGTGAAGAAAAAAAAGAAAAGACAGAAAAATGTCTAATTATGAATTGTTGAAAAAAAATATGGATCACAGTCACTAACAAGCTTAATTACCATGTGTGTGAATAGATAAAGGGCTTAATGTGAGTGCACTAGAATGAAAGAGAGTGAAAAAAGAGGATGAGTAAGTTAGACTTAGGCATAACGACATGATTTGGATTGGTTTGTATAGGAGGGAGTCTTATGATCGCAAAATTGCGGATTTGTGTTCTTACGATATCCTTAGTATGCAAAAGTAGTACCTATCAATGCAATCTTGACCAAAGAGGAGTTCACAGCCTAGATTGAATAGCTGAATGTTTTTGTGTTTCATGAGTTTTGACAATACTTTGCTCGGAGTGCAAAAGTTCAAGCTAAAAGAGGAGCAGATAGATATGTTCATTGAATTACCTAGTCTCCAAAAACTCCAAAAAGTTGTGCATCGCATGGCTCACAGGGATAAAAAGTGAAACTCCAACATAACAAAAGCTACATACCCTCCATATCCAAAAGTTGTGCATCTCAAAATTCAAGGGACAATATATATATATATATATATATATATATATATATATATATATATATATATATATATATATATATATATATATATATATATATATATATATATATATATATATATATATATATATATATATATATATATATATATATATATATATATATATATATATATATATATATATATATATATATATATATATATATATATATATATATATATATATATATATATATATATATATAGGTCATATATGACCCCAAAAAATCAAAAAACACAGTTGACCTGAAAAATTGGACAACATAAATATTAGTTATAAAAAATAATAATATAGTAATAAAGTAAATATGATATACATACATCCATTTCAAGCACAACCAGAAGGTTGTGGCTGAGGCTGTGATGATGAGACACCTGATCCTCCCCTTGCTGCTGAAGACATTTGTTGAAACTCTAAAATAATGAAAAAAAATATTTTTTAGAAATACATAATTATATAACAATAGAATATCTTATATATTCAAAATGAATTAATAAATTTACCTGTTACAATATCTTCTGAAAGGTCAAAATCTTCCATGAGGTTCATATCTTTGAAATAGGTTAAAGAAGGCCTTAACCAATTCTGGGTGCAAATTAAAGCTTCTGCCATTTCAGCAGTTAGAGAGCTCCTATAGGTTTCTATGACCCTCCCTCCTGTGCTAAAAGCACTTTCGGAAGCGACAGTAGAAACTAGTGTGGCTAAAATATCTTTAGCCATTGTAGATAAAATAGGATATTCGGCTGAATTGCGTTTCCACCACACAAGAATGTCAAAGTTAGGATCCCTTTTAACACACTTACTAGAATTATACCCCTCAAGCTCATTTTGTTGATCAATCGAGTTTTGTTCCTCTAAATGTTGCTTAAAAGCATCAGCTCTAGCCATAATGGATGAACGGGCAACACCTACAATTGTTTCGTTATTAGAGACATTATTTCCACCACTACCAAAAGGGTGTGTGGAATTATGTTTTTGGTCATAAGCTTGCTTATACCAATCATACAACTTTTGTAAATCGGCTTTTATAGATTTTACCAAGTCACTACCAAACTTCGATCCAACTCCGTACATGTCCTTAAACATCCACTCAATGTAACTCAACTTGTATCTTGGATCAAGAATAATACCATAATATATCATCTTGTTCATCTTATCGGCATTCCCCCAATATCTATTATACTTTTCCATCATATCCCCACCTACACTTGCAAAAATATCATTTAAATTCATTGTAGCTTGTTTTAACTCACAATAAATGGCAGACACTTGGTGAAAACAAGTATGCAGACTCACACTTTGAGAGGTGGAAAAAATCTTAGTTGCTTCGTAGAATAACTTTAGAAAAGCACCAAAAGCTCTAGCAGTGTCCCAATCATCACTAATAGGGGATTACCTTTTCCAAAGAACTCTCTATAACTCGACTCTTCATCCTCAAGCTTTTCAAAAGTGAGTTGAAACTTATCTACAGCCTCTAGCATTAAATATGTCGAGTTCCAACGAGTAGAAACATCAAGACATACTAACTTTTTGCAAGTTATCCCAACAAATTCAATGCATTCTTTAAACTTGGCTGCCCTATGAGGCGAGGACTTAACAAATCTAACAGCATCCCTAACACTAGTAACAAATAAATGTTTATCTTTCAAACCCTCATTTACCACCAAGTTCAAAATATGAGCAGAACACCTCATATGAAAACACTTTCCATCCCCCATCAACCCATTCATATTTGCAACCTTTTTCTTTAGATATGTCACAAAAACATCATTGGAAGTGGCATTATCAACCGTTATGGTTGCCACATTTCTGATTCCCCAATCCTTCAACACTTCTTCAATCTTCCTACCAACAGCTTCACCCTTGTGGTTTGGATTTACGGTGAAGCTTATAATTCTTTTTTGATACTTCTAATCGTTATCCACAAAGTGTGCCGTAAGGGTCAAATAATTGAGATTTTGTATAGAATTCCAACAATCAATAGTAAGTGCTACCCTATTGCAGTCAGACTTAAAAAAGGCCTTTAACTTTTGTTTTTCATCCAAGTGTAGCTGAAAACAGTCCCTAGCTACTGTACGCCTAGATGGGATGGTAAATTGGGGCTGCATTACTTTGGAATAAAATTTAAACCCTTCACCCTCTACTGCACTAAATGGCTGCTCATCTAGAACTACACAAACAGACAACGCACTTCTACAAGCTTTCTTGTCAAACCTAGAGCTAACTTGAACCAAGTTACCATCTACAGTTGGGTATGTTAGAATAGTTTGTGTGGGGTCAGTTGACGCAACAAGGGGCTTCTTAGGACATTTTAAAATATGATGGTTCAGATTGGTGGTGTCGTGAGTCCTAGGGTCACACAAGTATTTTTTATGGCAGTGTTTGCAGGCTGCAGTGGGTGCATCAACAAGGTCAGCAGGTAATCTAACAAAGTGTTCCCAGCAAGCAGATGATTGCCTAGAACCACTTGCACTAGATTTCCTCTTTTTTGTAGGTTGTGTAGTTGAACCTACTTCATTAAACAGTGGATTTTGATTAGGCTCACCAGTCAGTGAAATAACGAAGGAGCCACTATCAAAAACTACCAATCAACGTTCCAATTCACTTAAAAACTATGATCAAAATCATATTTATAAACACGTTGCATACACTTAAAATCATACTAGAACATACTGTGTACTGTAAAGAAATTACCTTGATCCATTCCACTTGGTTAAAGAAATTGTGTACTGTAAAACACAAACTAGTTAAATTCATTAAGTTATAGAGGCAGCAAAATAGATAAAATTGTGTACTGTAAAACAAATAGAACAAGAGAGAAAACAATACAAAACAAAAACAATCCAAAAAAGTCTTCAAACCTTTACCTCTCCCTATCACCAAAAAGATGTCAACTTCGATTCAAATTTCCATTCAAACCTTTAGATATCCCTATCATAAAAAATATCACAGCTTTAGTAAGAAACAAATAGAAAACACAAGTCACAAAATCATACAAAATAAAACAATCCAAAGAAAGTGTTCAAACCTTTAGCTGGAAAAGTCTTCAAACCTTCGATGTCACTTTCGAGTCAAACTTTCAAAAGTCTTTAAACCTTCATAAGAAACAACAAAGATGTGAGTCAGAAGAGAAATGAAAGAGATCGATGTAAGATATGAGACAAAGACGTGAGTTAGAACTTCAGAAGAGAAACAGTGAGGGACAGTTGCGATTGATGAGAATAGGGTGAGGGAAGGTAGTGAATAATGAGAAGAGGGTGATGGATATGTACGGAGAACTGAAGGTGTGCTAGGGTTTCTTTACAAGTTATGGAGAAAAGCGAGAAATGAAATGAAAAGGGAAAGGTGGGTGAAGCGATGCTATTCTAATGCATTATAGGTTTCACATTTGTTTTCTTAAGAAATTTGATTTATCGTAACTCAGTATTACCCTTTTCATTCGGACGGGTCAGCTTTTCGTACCCGGGCCGCCCATATCAACCCTCTTAAAACCAGATATATCAACCCGCTTGGTCCAATGGACCGACTGGACCCGCCCAATTTCCAAAAAAATTCGATTTCAAGTGGGTTGGGTCGGGTAGGCGGTTTCTGTCCAGTCCTAATGTTACATTTATGATTCAAAAATTAGTGGAAAGAATGATAAAATTTAATTGTTATTTGTATTGTAATTATATAAAGTTTTTTTTTATTGAAATCGTTTGTAAATAATATATTTAAAATCAACTTTGGTTGATTAATAGTGTAAAAATTCTTCATACATATGATATATAAAAATGAAAATTTGAATAATATTACTCATTAGTCATGAAATTTCCACGAATAATATATAAAAATTAATTATAGATAATATTATTCAAAAGCCAAGAAAAGAAAATCTCATGAAAGTGACCTTAGTGCATCCAAAATCCAAACAAAATTCCCATATGACAATTATTCCTTTTCTTTTAGAATTTTTAATTCATGTATCTATAATTGTGATTTTATTTACATTTATTTATATAACTTGAATTTGATTTGAAAATGAAAAGTTGAGTTGTTGCTAAACCCAAAGACAATCCAGTCCTTTTTGTTGTGTCTATATATCTACCACTCTCCTTTCTCTTTATTTTATCATTAAAATCGAATTAGGGTTTCCCTTCTTCTTCTTCTTCTCTCACTCTAGTTTCTGCGTAAACGGTTCCCAGTTTCGCTTCTATTCTCAAATTTCCCGCCATTTTCTTCACTTGATTTGAATTCTAGCCGTTAGATCTGTCATTTTCATTTGTTTTTTTAATTTTCCAAAAAAAAAAACTTTTTTTACCGTTGCTCTCGCCGGAGTTACCGGAAATGTCTGCTTCCGAAGGTGAGAAGAAGGTTGCGGAAGAGAACGAAGTTCCGAAAGGTGGAGAGCTTTTGTTCTGTGGTGCCACGTGTTGGGATAGTGTTGGTCGTCGGAAAGGTCCTGTTGAGGGTAACTTGGTTTCTCCGTCACGGTTACGGCCTCTCGTTGGGATTGATATTCGTTACATTGCTTCTGGTTGCGGTTAGTATGTTGTGTTGTTTTGATCTGTGTTTTGAATGTATGGAAATGTTGAAGTGTTTGTTTTTTTTGTGTGTTGTGAATGCAGTGTCTTGTCATTGTTTGGCTTTGGATGTTGAAGGGCGTTGTTATACATGGGGACGTAATGAGGTATGACTGTTGATTTGAAATTATTTGTTTGTATTGCGTGTTTCTGATTTGCGAGATTTCTGTGCAGAAAGGGCAACTGGGTCATGGAGATATCATTCAGCGTGATAGGCCAACCTTGGTGTCTGGGCTTTCAAAGTGAGTTTGTGGTTTCTGTTTTTATGAACAATATTTTGTGGTCATTTATTTCTTGTGTATTTGTGCTGATTGTGTTGTTTATGGAATGGTTTGATTTTTGACTTCGTAACTCATGGTAACTGTATATTTTTGGTAATGGTCTTACTTCACCTGTTTTCGGTTTAAATGTCGGTTTTGGTAATGGTCTTTCAAAGTGGTCTTACTTCACTAAAAAAATTGTTTTTTTCTTTGCTTTTAACGCAACCTATGCGTTTTTTTGACAAATCTCACACATATCTAAAAGGCATAAAACAATTCAGACACGCTTTTCAAAAATAATCTCCTTTTTTCCTTTGATTCAGCACAATTTATACATTTTTTTTGACAAATCTCTCACATATCTAAAAGGCATAGACATGTATTGAAGCAATCTTATCATTAAAGAATTAAAAACATAAATTTTGATTAGAATCATTTTAACTATCTTAATAGTAGATGGATAATCGAAACTCAAATACCACCGAATATGTAGCGGTGTCAGTGTCATATGTTTTTGCTGGTGTCGGAGTTTCTGTGTGTCCCGGTGTCTGTGTTGGAGTACATGCTTCATGTTTTGCATTTTGTTCTTTCTCCCGTTGTTATTTATTGTTATGCTTAATTTTGTTGATATTTCACTTGGAAGATACAAAATTGTTCAAGCTGGAGCTGGGAAGAGCCACACAGTGGTTGTTACAGCTGATGGAAATTCCCTAGCATTTGGATGGAACAAACATGGACAGCTAGGTTCGGGTTCTACTAAAAATGGTATGTTTTACTAAGTATTTGGTAAAAATATGCTATATGATTTCAACTATTAGGTGATTGTTGTTTATTAATTTGATCCATGCTTATCTTAAGCTTGGTTTAGATGTTACACTGTCAGTGGAATGACAACATATAGTGCAATGGAGTAAAGTTGCTACACGCCTGTGTAGTAACCTAACTACCCAGGTGTATAGTAAAGTTATTCTGCTGAAATTTATGTTGTCGTTGTTTCTTTTACCCCATATAATAGAGTGTCTATTTGATTTACAACCATGCTCTGTCTTGTGCAGAAATTGAATCATCTCCCATTCGCTGTGTCATTTCTGAAGTTAAATATGCTACATGCGGTGCTGACTTTTCTGTCTGGTTATCTTCAGTTGAAGGAGCTTCTATACTGTATGATTTCTAAAAATTGTATTAAGGTTTCTTGAATCTCTATCTGTGATTGTGGATATTTGTTCTTGTTTGATTGCAGTAGTTGTTAAGTTTCATTTCTTTTACTACAATTGCCAGGACTGCTGGGCTTCCACAGTATGGGCAGCTTGGGCATGGGACAGATAATGAGGTATGATTGAGGAAGATGTTTGAGTTTTTATGGTCTTTGTCGTCCCAAGACTTGAGTGTCCTCACATGCTGCGTTGTTCAGATGCTGAGTCCATGGAGGCTGGGGCCATTGAATTACCATTGAGCTCATAATTGATTGCTGGGGCAAGCTCATGTTTTAACATAGTTTGTAGCACAGATACCTGATTACAAACGTTATTAATATAGTTGTTGATATATAATTAATAATCACAAAATAATTAAGGGTAATGCTAACTTGTGCCCTAAGGGCACAAGTTAAAAACTAATTGTAGAAATAATATCTTGGAAAGTGTGCACTGCTTTTAATAAAAATAAAAAATTTAATTTTTTATTAATGTTTTCAATACAAATTTTCTTTAAGTGTGTTTCTTAACTTTTGCCCCTAGGGTACAAGTTAGCATTACATGATAATTAATTAGGCGCTGTTTTAGTAATGCCACACTTGCATTGTCACCATCCGTTTTTCTTGTGTTTTTGGGATCATTTGAGTGGAGCATCAGATGATTATTAAGTGATAATGGACCGATTTTTCCTTCTATAATGAGTTTGTGTCAATACTGGTAATATGCTTAAATATGTAGTTGTAAATGTCCATAGTTGACCCAATCATGCTTTAATTTTTTAAAATCTGTTCTGTTCACTTATAAGTTAAAACCTATCTTGTCATTCCTTCTTGATTAACTGTTCTTATGATAAACTAAATTTGTATGCCTGGTGCTGCAAGAAAGATTTACTTAATGTTGCATGTTCTTGTGCAGTATAATTCCAAAGACAGCTCTGTGAAATTAATTTATGAACCACAGCCACGACCTCGAGCCATAGCTTCCCTTGCTGGTGAAACTATTGTCAAGGTGGCATGTGGATCAAATCACACAGGTGGTTGTTATTTTTGAGATCTTGATTATTAGACCTTGTATATTACTATTTCTTATTATTTTTATTTTGTATATACAGTGGCGGTGGATAAGAATGGCTTTGTCTACACGTGAGTAATCCTCTAGTGTCTTATCTCTGGATCTTACCTCCAATTGTGTACATGTAATGTAAGTTGTAATCTGTTTGGTTTTCATTTGTACAGGTGGGGTTATGGTGGTTACGGAAGGTTGGTGACTGTTTTCAGATTGAGCTGTCCATGTTTTGTGAATTCTCGTGAAACTGCAACTATCAAATCATTCTCCCTAAAAGTTGGATTTTATATTTGGTCACTACTTCTCTTGTGCTTAACTTTACAACCTTTTTCTAAAAAATTCTGTAGGCTAGGACATAGGGAGCAGAAGGATGAATTTGTTCCACGTCGTATAGACATTTTCACGAATCGAAATGTTTTACCTCCTGATGCAATTATTTCAGCAGGTTCCACGAATTCTGCTTGTACTGCAGGTTTGCATCTCACGTCTTCTTTTTGAAAAATGTTCACTTATATGACGTGCCGTGCCTCTTTGATAGCTGTATTCTATGTTCATTATTTCCTTTCTGACAACGCATCTGTTATGGATATATGATACTGATATCACGAAGGTTGGCATACCAAAGTGAATGTGATGCTGTATCTATAATTCTACTTCAACAACAAATAATTTTTGTTGTGATATGAAATAGTGGTTGAATAATGGCCAAGATATAATTTATTTGTGACTTCAAGTATCCCTATTTAACAGTGTTTTTTTTTCATTTTCATTTCAGTTGGAGGGCAGTTGTACATGTGGGGCAAACTAAAGAACACCGGTGATGACTGGATGTACCCGAAACCTCTAATGGACTTAAGGTTGTGCTCTATTCCATGGTTTGGATTAAAGTTCTTCTATATTCAATACTTCTGGACGAGTTTCCTTCCGTCGTTTACTTCCTCATCTTGATTAAATAGTCTATATTTATTTTGGTAAATAGTGGTTGGAATATACGATGCATGGATTCAGGGGGTATGCACCATTTTGTTGGGGCTGATTCCTCATGCATAAGTTGGGGTCAAGCTCAGAATGGAGAGCTGGGATATGGACCCACTGGACAGAAGTATGTTTTTTATACAACTATTTTAGCAACAATATTTTGTTTTTTGATTTTATAATTTTCTAATCCTGTTTGTGCTTGTTCCTTAGGTCTTCTGCTGTACCTAAAAAGGTAGATTTACTTGAGGGTATGCATGTAATGAGGTCAGTGACATTCAGAAATTTTTTAGTATTGGAGCTATATTTATATATAAATATTTTCAATATTATTAGTACAATGTAACAAGTCATCTCTGAATCATTTTATTATCACAATGTAACAAGTCATTACTGAATCATTTTCTCTTTATTATAATAAAATGAAATATCTCTGAAGGATCGCCATGAGCAATACAAAATAGCTTCACCGTGTCAAAATGTAGAAACTGAATTTATATTGAGTTTAAGCATGCTAAACCTTTATTTTTCAACTATTGAATTTGTTGACCTGATCAATCACTTGATATTGAATTTAATCTTAAAAATAATGTTAAATCATCTTTACTTTCCATTAACTGAAATATGTATTCTATTTTCCATTTGTGTATCTTTAGTTTATAATTAAAACAACAAAAATTTATGATAAAACAAAAGCTGTTTGTTTATCATGCATGTCAGTAAGCTGCCAAAGATAAGCAACTAGTATTTATTGAAGTTATGCTTTTTGAAAACCATATTTTCTTCATGACTAATCAAAATGAGAATTTGTCTAAGTATTTTTCTCTTATTTTCAAACAGTGTTGCTTGTGGTTTGGGTCATTCCATGATTGTGGTTGACAGAGCAAATGTTGCTGAAAGACTTGACCAGGTAGCTCTTAAATCTGATCTATTATCTTTGAAGTTCACAAGCTCACAATCATTGCATCAAGTTCACGAAATATTAAACATGGTCTGACTTTATGTTGTAGGTTATATCTGAGCTGCTTGTTTCATATGGTATATTATGAAACAAGCGCACAATCATTGCATTGAGTTCACAAAATATTAAACATGGTCTGATTTTATGTCGTAGGTTACATTGAGCTGCTTGTTTCATATTCTATATAATGTTTCATACTATATTTGAGATGCCTGCTTGTTTAGAATATTTCATCACAATGACAGTGCCATGAGCTATTTGTATAGATTATAATGTAATCAGTAGATTCTGCTGCTTAATGGATTTTTTAGTCTTTCTTCCTTCTCTCACCAGTTCTTAAAGGCGATATCTATCTATTCAACACTTCGAACAATCTTTTGAGAGGCTGTGATTTGTAGTAATCACAAATTTACTCTGGTTGTCCTGTTTTGTACGACTGTCTTTTGCGTTATATTTTATAATATGATGAAGTGTGCAACTCCTCCTAACTTCTCTTTTTTTCTGCAGCTTGACACACATGACGGCAAAGCTGTTGGTGAAGGTATGCAATTTTTACAGTTCAAATTATGTATAGTGTATCTAAAACTTCACCAGTTAATAGTAGCTGTCTCAAATGCATCATATTATATTGTACCGACTTTGTTGTGTTCTTGTTGCAGGTAATGCGCCTGTGAACAAAACTCCAGTCCCTAAGAAGGCTGCTCCTGCTAAAAAAGGTGCAAAGAAAGCTGATAACTCGAAGAAGAGGAAAAAGGCAAAAGATTCATCTGACTCGGAAGAAGAGCAAGAACAGGCTGAAGAAAGTGACAATAGTGATGATGAAGTTAATGGTGAGGCTGAGGTTAAGAAGTCACGAGGTGGAAAAAGTTCTGGCAAGGGCCGAGGTAAGGCAACAAAAACGCCTGCAAATAAAAGCAGTTCTAAATCTTCCCCGGTGAAGTCAGCTGGTAAGAGAGGAAGACCCAAAAAGGCATGATCTGGTTTAGTGAAAGTTTTGTTCTCTATTCCTCGAGAATCGGAGTAACTCAATGCGGGACTTGCTAACTGTTTATTGCAATTATTTTTCAAAAAAACATTTTAATTAGAAACCTTTTTTGGAATTTAGAGGCAAGAAGTGCCTCTTTCTTTTGTGGATTCAGTATGCACGCTTCAGTGGCCCGTCAGCTTAATAGACTTTAATCTGCTGGGATTATGATTTGGTGAGATGTTTATTGATGATTCTTGAGGCCAATTATGCTTTTAATTTTTAATCCCTGATGTATAACATTCTTATTTGTTATTATCTAAACTTAATTTTCAATTATTATTTGTTTAATATAACGCATGTATACGACGATTTTGTTTTAACTGGAGTGAGAAGTAGTTCTATCTCTTGACAAAATTTGCTTAGTTTGAGTTTCTATTTGTTAGAATAATACCTATTATTCAAAGTAGTTGGGGTGTTATTTGACAGTTCGTCAATATTCAAAGTAATTATAAAGACTATTTGATAACAATTATACTATTCTTGATTCTTGACATTTTGGTCGAGGATCATTTATGCAGAGGACTTCAAGTCATCAACAGATACATCGTTGACCGCATGTCATAATGAAATGTTGAACATGTCATATGTGGTGATAGAAAAGAGAAAGTGGTTTATGGATTCAGGATAACAACTATAAACATCTAGTTTAAATTAAATTGAACCAAATCAAATACATCTAGTTATAGATTCAAATTTTATTTAGCCTGGTTTCAACTCAAATTTAATCACATTTGTTGAAGAGTATTCAGTATTTTAATATTTATTTAGCTTACGTGACACTTTTGTTTGTGTATATATACTAATGTAGCTGTCAATAGTTGTACACACACTGAGCAACAAATAGTGCACATAATCAGTGTAGTTGAGTAATAATTTGTAATTGTTTTGCAAAGTAGTGGAAGTTTGTTATTCTCTTGTCTCTCTTCTTCAATCTTCATCTTTTTCATCATGTGCATCAACCGTATGTTGTAAGGAAAGTCTTCTCCGGAGGGGCCTTACTAATCTCAACCATGGACGGTGAAGATTTCACGTCCCCTGTGAACGCAGACGCAGTCAACAGATATTTTGCTTAAAATAGACATGCTGGAAGGAAAAAAAAATTCCAGGCAAGAATGAGGCATCCCGGCGAACCATAAAAGGATAGGTTCAGGCAAAAATTAGGGATAAAAAGAAAAATGTAAACCCGCAAAGTTGAAAACCTGAAAGGACAACTTTGTCAAAAATGAGTATCCCGGTGAATCGAAAACCCGCAAAGGGCGATTCAGGCAAAAGTTAGGGATTTGAAAAGCAAATGACTACGGTCTGTACATTGATCTTCAAAGTATAGTGGATTATGGGAAAACTCGAGAGTCAGCTGTTCAAATCAATCTCTTCAGAAGACGAAGCATCGAAAAGGCGTCGAAGTCACGCGAGTCATAGCTGAGTCGTTCTATGGTGGTTCTCTGTGTCACATTGCCGACATTTTGTATTTTTTTTCTTACGCAGCTTTCTCATTTCAGGAGTTATATCTGTTGTAAATTTGCCTATTTACAGACTGTTTATCAATAAAACATACTATTAAAAAAACTTTTGTTTTTGATTCAACTTTTACCGTTTTGTTTGCAAAAGACGCCTGATGTTTTGATAAAATTTTGCATACATAAACGTGTGGACTCTGCCAACTATAATCGAAATAATGTTTTTGCTTGAATAATGTCACAAGTGATAATTAAGATGGTACCTGCTGCACATAACATGTTTGTTTGTCATTTGTAGGACTCTCATCCTCGAGACTTTTCTAGAAGTCCCCCCATTGGAAGAAGGTGTGCTCACATCCCCAGCAGGTTGGAACCTTGTATAGATAAGGATATCCTCAGCAGGTTGAGATTAATATCTCCAGCAGAGTCGGATCATCTCCAACAAGTAGGTGTGGAATTATCCCCAACAGGGGAACAAATTCAGAGTTCCGTCTTCCCACAGAGTCTAGATGGTTGACTCTTTTCCCTTCAGAGTCTAGGTCATTGACTCATCCACTAAGCAGAGGTTGATATCGTTGAGTTTTGTGCTCATTTTCCCCAATCGGAGGTCGATGTTGATTCCCTCGTTGCCTAATCCCCAGCCAAGTCAACGAAATAGTTTTCTTCCCCACAATTTGGGGCTGACTCAGAGGTTGTTTCTCCCTATCCTCGGCAGAGAAAGTTTGGGATATTTCCCAGTAAATCATGTGCATTATCACTAGCAGATAGCGAATTGAATCTTCAGCAGAGCGGAATCTCTGACAAAATGGATCTATTCTTCAGCAGTCTGTTGTGTTTCCCCAATAGAGTTATTCTGGCTGGCCATTCAACTCTGATTTCCCCGGTGGAGTGGAGTTTCTATCTCCAGCCGAGTTGTTTGTTCCCCAGTAGAGTTGTATTCTGGTAGGCCATCCAGAGTGTTTTCCCCAGCGGAGTTTGATTTGATCCTCGGAGGAGCAGATTTGTTCTTAGCAAGGCAGTTTTGCCCAAAAACCTTCTCAGAAGCCATCCAGGGCTTGTTTTCCCCGGCATGAGTCCGTTTGTACTAGGTGTGGCTAGTATTTCCCCCCAGCGGAGTTTGGTTTCCTCTCTTTAGCATTTATTTTGCTAAGGTGGTTCCTTTGCATTTGCATTGTGTATAACATCCTCCCAAACGCGCAACATTTCCATTTCGTGTGGAGCATTACACCATATTCAAACATGTGCATTTGAAACATAAGCCAGGTTGTTGCCTTTTGTTTTCAGATGTATCTGCAGCGGTTACTGATGTTTTTTTGAGCCCGTGTGGTATCCAGACCCCGACTCGCACCGGTTTGTTTTCATTAACCCGTGTGGTATCCAGACCCCGGCTTCCTCCGGTTATTTCAGTAAGCTCGTGTAGTATCCAGACCCCGGCTTCCTCCGGTTATTTCAGTAAGCTCGTGTGGTATCCAGACCCCGGCTTTCTCCGGTTATTTCAGTAAAGCCCGTGTGGTATTCAGACCCCGACTTTCTTCCGGTCATTTCAGTAAGCCTGTGTGGTATCCAGACCCCGACTCATACTCTTTTGTTCAACCAACTGGTGCGGTATCCAGACCCCAGTTGATGTTTGTTTCAGCAAGCCCGTGTGGTATCCAGACCTCGACTTCCCCCGATTATTTCAGTAAGCTCGTGTGGTATCCAGACCCGGCTTCCTCTAGTTATTTCAGTAAAGCCCGTGTAGTATCCAGACCCCGACTTCCTCCGGTTATTTCAGTAAGCTCGTGTGGTATCCAGACCCCGACTTCCCCCGGTTATTTCAGTAAGCTCGTGTGGTATCCAAACCCTGGCTTCCTCCAGTTATTTCAGTAAAACCCGTGTGGTATCCAGACCCCGGCTTTCTTCCGGTCATTTCAGTAAGTCCGTGTGGTATCCAGACCCCGACTCATACTCTTTTGTTCAACCAACTGGTGCGGTATCCAGACCCCAGTTGATGTTTGTTTCAGCAAGCCCGTGTGGTATCCAGACCCCGACTCCCATCGATGTATCTTTTCGCCTGTGCGGTATCCAGACCCCGACAACCCATGATGTTTCCTTTAACCCGTGCGGTATCCAGACCCTGGTTAATATCATTTTATAAGCTCAAGCGGTATCCATACCCTAGTTTACAGTGTTTGACTCTTGAGCCTGTATGGTATCCAGACCCCGACTAGTGATTTGTCATCTAGACCCCGGCAAACCATGATGTTTCCTTTAACCCGTGCGATATCCAGACCCCGATTAACATCATTTTATCCCTTTAAGCTCGTGCGATATCCAGACCATAGCTTATGCTATTTATTTCCTGAGCCTGTATGGTATCCATACCCCGACTAGTGATTTGTCTTGCCTATGTGATATCCAGATCCAGACAGATTATGAAATTTTCTCTCTCGCTTGTGCGATATCCAGATCCCGACAGATTGTAATCTTCGATGGATGCGTCCATCCTATCTTTGTCTTCCCAATAGAGTTTACAGACCTTATCCAGTTACCGTTTCCTTTTTTTGCGGTTGGCAAATTTCTGGGTTCTTTGGTATTCAACCGTCTTTTACCTTGAATGTTTGAAAGTTGTTCGCTTTTCATCCCTTCAGGTCCAAGTCGCTTGAATAGGGGCAACTGTTGTACCCTAAAATTTGACCAACATCTTTTCTTATCTTTGGCTTATGTTTCATTGCATTTTAGCATCTTACATCTGCATAACATTGTTCTTACAAGGGATCAAGTGATTTGTTTGTGTATCATCCAAGAGGAGAGTCTTAATTGGCTTCAAGCTCAAGCAAAGGCAATGGTACAAGCCATCAAATGGGTGTTATCATCATAAAGTTTGTTGAGTACCTTAGAGGTCATTGTGGAATTGGAATGGTCACTCAGTTCATCTGCACAATACCTAGGCAAAAAAGGATGAAATTAGGGTTTCACTTTTAATCAAGATAAATTTGTTTTTTGGAGCAAAACTTGTTTCCATGGTCTTCCATATGTCCTAATGTGTTTGGGGATGGGATATTGATAATCAATTTTAATCAGAAGAGTTTCAATTGATCACTCAATTGAAAATTAGGAGATTTGGGGAAAACGTCAACTGTGCAGTGAAAAAGTCAACTCTTGACTTTTTGAAGTCAAGATCATGTTGCTGAAGTTCAATATGACTCATGGATGGAATTTGATCAAGAAAAGTCAAGGGAATAATGAAAAATCAAGAATTGTTGAAAGTTGCCATTTTGAGGAATTAGGGTTTTAGAAACTTTCCATTTCATGGTTGAAGCAACCATCTTTAAAGCTATTTTTCTTCATGATCAAGGTTCCAAATGGTCTTGGGTCAAACATCAAATTTGTTCCTTGTATTTCAAGTTTTATTTTGAGTACCAATTCATAATCATATGATACTTGAAGCTCAAGTTATGATCAATCAAAGTTGAGGATTTCAATGATTTCAACATTGCCAAGATTGGACAA